AGTTAAGTAACTGCAGCAGCTCAGGGATTACATCAGCCAGCTCTTCCCCTTTCAATAGTGTTTTCTAAACACTTCAAATTTAAAGTTATCTAAATGCTCTATAACTTGTTCCTTCCTCACACCAGTTTAAGATTTTAGCACTTACCTTGAACACCACATTCACCTCCAAGTCCCAGTCTCTCTAAATATGAGGAAAAAAAAAAAAGAGACCCCAGTCTGCCTTGTATTAGCTCTCCACAGCTCCAGTCTTCAAGCAGCAGCAAACCTTCTCTTTCTTTTTATTAACATTACATTCCTATAATGATTGTTACTCTTTTTGAGTTGGCCATTCTGAACATCGCATTTTAATTATATGTGCTTGTGCTTTATTTTTACACTCACCCTTGGCAACCCAGCCTGGATTCCCTTTCCCTTGTTTTTGATGTTGAAGAGCTCACTAGCAGCCAAGCTAGCCTCTCACTACTTTTCATATTTTCCTCTGCAGAAGAATAGTTTCAATTTCTGTTATTAACATAATTTCCTGAAGGAACACCTCTCCTTTTCCGTTTGTTTTTTGGTTTGGGTTTTTTTTTTTTTTTTTCCTCTTAACACACAGCCCCAGTGGATAAAATTCACGTTAACTAGACCTACCTGAAGTCTGCCTTTCTAAAAAAATGCATTGTTTTATTTTAACACAAGTCCTCCATCACAGACTCTGATTTGCTCACACACATTACTTATATTCTGGTTATAGTAAAGCTTGCAAGAGCCTATCCTCTAGTTGCTTTCTTTATATTTAGCATGAGAAAGCTTCACCAAGATCCTCCAAGAAATTGCTAGGCTTTCCACTTTACACTCTAACCAACATTTACAGGTAATTAAAATTCTGTGATCTGGATGATTTCTGCAAGGTGTTCACAACCACCCTCATCCAGAAAATCTCCCTGATTTGCCAGCCCTCAGTCACCTCTAGAAAGACAGCGCCAATATTTTTTCCTTTTTATTCACACAGACTTTTAGTAGAATTGTTTAGGGTGGAAAAGTTTATTTATTCTGCCACCAACTGCTTTTTCAACTCTTTATGCCACAGACCCCAACATTCTAGTACCTGAATAAATAATATTTTTATCTTGGAATATTTGAATGTACTTTGGATAACTGCTTAGATCACATTATCTCTTGTCACTGAGCCCAATGCCGAGTGCTCCTGAAACGCTGTTTGTTGAGTTGATGCCTCTTTTAAGCCTAAACTGTTGTTACATTAAATGTTTGCCAAAACTGTACAAATATTACCACTAGTAATGGAATATGTCTTGCTGCAAATACAACAAAATTTTATCCCCCACACTTGCTGCTACTCTAAAAATCAAACAGTAACTTTCCACCTATCGAAACATTGCACATGTACCTGCTGTGGTAATGCTATATATAACGCACAGCAAGCACCGAATTTTAGCTATGCATAGTTTATCAATTCCTAAACTAATACAACATCCATGAAGTGGGAGGAGTTACTATCACATTAGAATTTTAAATTGTCAAGAGGAAGAATCAGATAACATTTCATTCATCTTTAATTCATTCAACTTTTTAAAATGTATCTGCTCACAAACTAATTCAAATGCTGTTGAATTTCACTGAAGGCCAATGGGAAAAGTTCATGCAAATACAAGCCACAAATTCTGCTAACAACTTTTGTCCTTATAGGCAAAGACTAAAAGAAACATTAAATACCTGGAAAAGTCTTCAGATAGCTTCTATATATACCAAAAGTCAAGTAATTCAGTCATTTTCGCCAAGCTGACTTGAATGTCAACAGAACCAAGGTCTGTGTGCCCAGAACATTGTCTATTCCCTCGGCTACAGAAGTCAGTCTAATGAAGAGCATTATCACTTCCTTTGATCTTTGTCCCTATGTGCTTAATGTAAGTCCCATCCACCACCCCACCATTTCACTAACAAGTAAGTTGCTAAAACAACACTACTAACAAAACATGTAACTTTCAAATACCATGCATCATAAAGGCAGTGTTGGCTAAACTGCCTTAGCTGTTTCTCTCTGAATTTTTTTTTTCAGCAATAAAGATTCTAGTGAAAAGAAAAAAGTTTCCCAAGCCCAAGGACTCTGCTGGCATCCAAGCAAAACAAATCTAGTTCTATCTAGCCCAAGGAAATTCTGCAAAATCATCCCAATACACTCAAATGTGTGTTCTGCTGTACCAACACTAGCAAGTCAGGGACCCTAAGCATTGGGCAGGCATCACCACTGTAAAAATTATGCCAGTGAAATACTGCTAAAGGCAGATGTAACCACCGACATTCATAAAATGTCCGTGTTACGTGGCAGCCCGCTCACACTACAGTCTCCCACTGTTGTTCACATTGCTAGGACCAAAACATTAAGAATGGAAATCATTGTGAGGGCAAAGCAGGTTTTGCCCTCCATGTTTATTCCATTATTCTTTTTTTTTTTTTTTCTGCTTTTAAGAAAATGTACTTCCATTTCACATGCTCCTTATCCTATGAAAATGTTTCAAGGAGCTGATAAAGAACTTTCTAATTGTTTACCTGAAACCACTCCAAGCAGGCAAGCATAATTAATCTTAACACAAGTCAGCAATTCAGAAAGGAAATTATCCTGTTACACCTATTGCTGACTCTGTGTTCTATGCTTCCCTGTACTGAATGGCAAAATGGCAAATTTAAAGAAAAAAGGCAAAATCACCTCAAAGTAACAGATTAGCCAAATTCACTGTTTCTCTGAAAGTCAAAATGACAAGTCACAATAGACTGATATTACCAATCCATGCCACAGGCATTCCAAGGACATATAGGTGGTTCAATAACAATATCAGAGCAAAACAAGGAGCAACACACCCTTTTTTGAAAACATTAATGGTTTGCAGAAAAATCTGTGGCTGCTTAGCACCTGCCATTGCTGTACCTTGGTCAGGCACAGAGAAGAGAGAACCCAGCATCATTCTAAGTCACAGAGAAGAACAGACCTCTGGAACAACCCACATCTCGCTGTGGCTGGGAGCATGCACTTTCTGCAAAGTCCGGCACTGGAAGTCAAGGGAGTTTCTCAAAAGGGGGGATAAGCTTTTGTCCTCCATAGGTTTTCTTACAGGAATACTGAATTTATGATGTTGTATGAAAACACATTTATGGAACCGACAAAGTTTAAAAGTGTCAGAAATGTGCAAGAAGGAGACAGCACAGCTATGTTTAATAAAGCACATGGGTCCAGTGTAACAAGCCACAGATGTTTCAACTTCAACTTGTAATTGCAAAGATAGTACCTCCCTACTCAGGCTCCCTTCTTCCCTTATATGTTCAAGATACATGCTTGCAGAAACACTACCCTTAATATAATGCCAGTACAGTGGTGAAGTATCAAGCCAAATTATTTCTCCCTCTCAGGTCTGCTGCATTAGGGCAGGAGCCTGCCACATGAAAATGAGTTAACACAATTTAGTAAAACCCACACTACTTTTCAGAGCTGGCTGCACAGCAGTAATTTTTCATTCATTGCTCTTTGACTTGTGTGTCAGAAAACAAACATCTGAAAAATGTTTAGTTATTACAAATATATTAACTGTTAAATGTTAGTAAGACTAACTCAAAAATACAGGATTATCTTCCCTACTGCTCAGGGGTACCTGATCTTACAAAAGATTTTGTGAAGGCAAATGGGATTAATTCTTCAGCAGTGCAACTCTTCAACCATCAGCACAGTGCAACAGAAGCAGCCAACTGTTAAATTCAAGTTACAATTCAAAAGTTTAGTGGCCTTTAGGTCTTGCCAATAGCATACACGGTTTTGTTGTTTTTTTTTTTTTTTTTGTTTTATGTACATTAAGAAATCCTTCTAGCTGTGAGCTCCTTGCATCACTTCATCAGTTCCCCAGGCAAACTAAATTACTACTAGAATAGTCACTACCTTAGGTCTACTTATATAAAAATTTTCACAAAAATAAATCCTACCTTCCACCAATATACAATACTGGCAACTTGTAAAAATAAGCTAGAATTAGAAGGATAAAGGGCACAAGTGTCTTTCAGCGACAGTTATTTACACAAAGAACCTAACACGTGTTTTTATTTCTTGCCCCCTCCCCCTCACTTTTTTGTTTTTTACCAAACCAGACAAGCTCTTCTAAATCATGCAACCGTTTAAACAGACAAAAGTGTCATACTGTTTGGTGACTACACTAGAGGTACAAGGGGAGAAGATATTTGACTATGCTTCTACAGTTAAATGGCAAAAGTTACATAATAATAATTTGCCTAATACTTTTAGCACTAATCTAGCTCTGTGGGGAAATACATAGAAGCAGATAACATGCCCTCTACAATGCTAATTATGGCTAGACCAGAATTAACTGTCATGGTCTTCAGTATTACCTCAAATTTGACCTTTTTTTTTTTTAAGGTAAAAAAGAAAAACAAGTAGTTGATTTCCCAATAACTTATTACCCATGGGGAGCCACCACAGTTTGAAACAGAGTACATTTCAGGACAAGTTCTGCAACTGCTATGAAAATGCATTGCATTTAGTTCAAAGATAACATGAGTCAAAGCCTCAAGAACATTTTACACAAACCAGCTCAGGATCTCCTTCCTCCTTTTCAGGTGGCAGTTAATTCTGGAGAAAAAATACTGTTATGCATATACATGGAACTAAGGTTTCAGGCCTCCTGCATGCAGATGGCTATATTTCTGTCACATTTCCAAACTTTCCTTTCTTAAAGGTAATCCCACTAGATATCAGAGGTAACACGTTCTTAGATCGTGTCTTCACATACCTTGAGCCTCTACCACCCCTGATACCAGCTCTTACCTTACTTGCTCTGCTTCCATTCCACACAGAATTGCCTCACCTGAACATGCCCTTCAGGATCACCTTTGCCAAGAATTTTCTGGCCACATGGTTTAAAATGGAAAGCATTCTTATCATACCATCCACGAATCATTTACTAAAAGATACCTACATATAATAATAGGAAGTCTTATGATCAATGCCTAAGACAGAAAGTAAGGTAAGAGGTGTTTCCAAAAGCTCCTCAGTCTTCATAACACTAACTTTAGTTGTGAATGCTTTGCTACCATCACAGCACCTCCAAACTTAAGTTGACACTTTAAAATGTACTGGTGTGTGTATATATATTACACAGGAGTAATTAAGCCAGAAACATTTATTGCTGTATGCATTCACAAGTACATTCAAAACTGTTCTTTCAATTCAGCCCAGTCGGTCTTCAGATTTGATCCAGATCTAACTGACCTACTCCCCGTAACACAGTGAAGTCCTAGCTCTACTTTCCAAATGGATTAATCCCATCAGGAAAAGGGTCCGCTTCTTGGAGGCAATTTGCATGAGTTTTTAAAGGTATAGCAATTCTTACAGAACAGCCATAGCACCAGCTACTTACAAGCCTTTATTTGGACACTATGCTGTACTGCAAGAAGGACTAAAAAAAAAAAAAATCAGAACTTGCAGATCACTAGTGCCCCAGCTTTTGATCAGTGCAGGCCTTTGTGGCCTCTTTTGGAAGCACCCTGAGGTTGCCTGTCTTGACTCAACACAATCAGAGCATTAAAAGTGCATCCATAGCATACCTAAAGTATAGGCATCCACTGTTGTGTAATACATTACCTGAAACACACCCAAAAGCAGGACAAAAAAAGAACCAGTTGGCCAACAGCCTCCCTTGATGCCCCCTTTTCTGGAGGCTTCCCCTGATGATGATACAGAATACGATTTTTCCTGGGTTGTAGGTCAGTCTTACACTAAATAACTATTTGATAACGCTAAGAGACCATAAGCAAGTGAACAATGCCAAGTCAGCACGTCTGCGTACAAAAGTCTTAGAGTTTAAGTGCCTGTAAACCAAAATACAGTTATAAAACTGTTACAAAAAAGGATGACTTGAACAAGAGGTCACAAAAGCCCTGTTCTCGGTAGCACACAAAGAACACCACAAACATACCAACTACTCTAGACATACAGTAGAGCACAGAGAGAGACAACACCACTCAAAAATCTGAGAGAAACTACCAGTCACAATAAGATTATACCAGAATGTGGAGACCAGCATTTTTAAAAACTTGAGTATGCAACTCAAACATTAAGGAACTAAACAAGATTTCCATAAGCCCAATTAAAATTTGAAAAGCCCTTGCAATGAAACCTTCTGCAAGCATCAAAAAGCAGCATTTGTATACTAATAAGTAAATATATGGCAAGGGTGGAACAGCAGCATTTGTGAGTTCTTTTATAAAAAGCCTGAAAACTTTATGTACATCAAAGTAATCTTGATAACCCTTCAATTAAGAGTTTAACAGAGAAACTGATGCTTCAGATAGTATCGAGTCTGTAAATCTGAAGACTGAAATTTAACAGGCATCAATTCATTAGTATAATCTTTTGAAAAAATAACAACATCTATAGATTTCTAAAATTCAGTTTCATGCCAGCAGCAGCTTCTACAAATCTAGTTACCTTAGTTTTAGATTCTATGAAGTTTTGTATCCCATGTGGGAGGTGGAGAAAAACAAAAACAAAACCCCAAAACAACCCTCACAGAAGATGACCGAGTTTTACCATCACCACCATATAGTTCCAACACAATGTGAATACAGTAAAGTTTAAAAATAAAAACAATAACAAAATCAAAGAAAAAAAGATGTAAATAAAGTTACGTTTCTTCCATGGACTCTGGCAACACATTCTTCATCATTTTAAAAGAATTCACTTATTTTTTCAAAGCATATATCATCAATCACCATGGCTCAATAAATAGATTAAAATAGCTGTTATCAGAAATCAATTCAAAACATTTGTGTTGATTGATATGGATAACAGAAAAAGGCATCTGGATGTTCCAGCAGCTTCACAACTGTCATCCTCACACCAGTATCTCATTGGCACAGTCTTGCCCTTTGCCGTTATTTATACTTTATGGAGTAGTTTGTAAGTTTTTCTGTCTTTTCCTTCTCCATTTGACCTTCCATGTTCATTAAAGCAGAGCCATAGAGGAAGAAACAAACTACAGCATTAGGTCCTAGTTCTTAGATTAGTTTCAGATCAGGTATACTCTTTATACACAGCCCAGCAGAAGTAAGGCAACACAAAATGTGAAAACCCTAATCCAACTTTACTCCTTTGGGTATTATAAACCCTCCCAATTACCATTTTTTCTAAAAGGTTTACTTCTAGAAATTTTGATATAACAGCAGCACAGGACACAAACACAGGTCTGTACTGTATGACCTAACATTAATTACCATATTGGTGTGTAAGAAATCTTTTTGAACGGACGGTTTGTTATCACTCCCTCTTCTCTCTGAAAACAAAAACAAGATAAAAGCATCATGCTTCACCACTAATGAGATGGGGCCCTGAATCTTTCTTACAGCTACGAGGAGGAATAAAAACAGCATGTGTGCAGATGAAAAATGCAACTACAAACTCTTGCACAGCATCAGAGTTTCATATTGTTCAACAGAAAACACCTAGGCAGAAAGAGAGGCACTAGCAGATTCTGAAGTCTTTCTCAGTTCAACCAGAAGTAGTATGGTGGCATATGAGATAGCACACTCACTTTGAGGCATTTTTCTTCCTATCATCATATGAGATGAGTTAATGCTAATCAGAAAATCAGCCGCACGCCCCAGGGAGGAAATCGGAGTGAAGGAAAAATCTCCAAATAATCCAACTGTGCCTCAGCATTTCTCTGTTATAAGAAACCACGTGCCCCAGCCTAGCAAACTGTCCTATACTGGCAGGCTGGCCCTACATGCAACTTCTTAACAGACAGTGTGTATCTGCCTGCACCTACAGATTTGTCTGTATGGAGTAACTCAAAATCATGCCGAGTTACTACCAACAATCTTGGGTGACAAAACATGTTCACATGACCTTGCTAATAGCTCCTCATTGCCTCAAAGATCAGAAAGAGCAACAGAGCAATCACTTCATCAGAACACACTGTCTTCTCTGACTATCAGGACCCTGAAGTTGCTGAGGCCTCTACTTTCCTTTGGCATCCCCAAAAAATTTCAAAATAGCCCTCAGTGATTTGGTGAGTGACGCAATCAGTTTAATGAGGGGGAAAAAAAAATGAAAAAAAAAAAAATCAATGTTACTAGCCTGTTAAACCAGAAGCCCGAACCCAAACTGACAACCCACGGACAGAGTCACACAGCTAAATACAAATACACTAAGTAAAGCGTCACACTTGTGAGGAAAAAGCCTTCTTTGGAACAAAAGCACACGTCCCATGCTCTCACCTTGGCACTCGCCCGCTCCCCGGCTGACAGCCCTGCGCGAAGCCTGGGTCCTCTCCCACAAGTTTGCGACCAACGTTGCCCAGGTCGCCCTACAAGCCAGCAACGGAAAAGCCGAGCCAAAAAGATAAAGGGGATTAGGCAGGCATTACTTCCAGTGACCTATATATTCCCCGCAGCCGCCCGCAGGCTGACAGCAGCTGCTGGACTACGGGGCACCCCGGCCCGCCGCCCCACACAGCCGCCGAGGCGAAACGGCGGCAAGACGGCTCCCACACCGGGGCGGGAGCGTCTGCGCGCCCGCCGCGGAGGCCCCGCCGCCAGGTCTGAGGCCCGTCCCCAACCGCCGCCACCCCCCTCACGCCTCCCGCCCCGGGGGGCCCAGCCCCTACCTGGCACGGAAAGTTTCCCTGGGGAAGGGCAAGGCGAGCTCCGCTCCCTCTCTGCCGAAGCGACCGGCTCCGGGAGGGAGGGAGGGAGAGAAGGAGGCGACTGCCCAGGTAAGTCGCCGTCAGCGACGGGGCAGCCGGGGCCAGCGTTACTCCCTCAGGAGGGAGGGATCCCCCTCAAGCCCGCCCTCACCGAACGTCCCGGAGGCTCCGTCCCTTCAGGGCGGGCATCTCCCCGGCCCCGACTCGGCACCGGCCGCGGAGTTTGGTTAACCGGGTGCCGGGCCGCTGAGTCAGAGAAGCGGGGAGGAGCCGCGACCCAGCGGGGTGAGGCGAGGCCCGGCCCGGCCCCCGGAGGGGGCCCGGTGGGGCCGCGCTCGGCCTCGCCGCCCCTCCCAGGCGAGAGCGGCCGCGGAAGGGGAGGGCGTCGGGCGGTGCCGCCGTTTGAGGTGATACGTTGTGGTTAGCAGGTGAGGAGGTCTCGGCCCGAAAAGAAACACGGTTCTGGAGAGGAAAAAAAAAAAAAAAAAAGAAAAATTTTAAACCCCGTATTATTTTAGAAGCGATGCCACAAGAGGAAGGTGGCCCTTGTTATTACGAGTCACTAGGTGGCACTGTTATACACCCCCCTTTTTAATTTTTAGTTCTTATTACTATTTTTTTTTTTTTCTTTAGGTGATGCCACGGCACGTGAGCGTTGCTCCCTCTCAGCGGAAGATGCCACCCAAGTGCTCCTTGGGGCGTGTTTCTCTGCAAGCAGGAGAATTTCAAGTCCTCTTTCCTTGGTGAGCCATGCACTGGCCTTCGTGGCCTGTTTGCTTTGCTGAAGCTGTAAAGGTGGGGGGAACCACCTGCCTGCCATTTGTTCGGACCCTGTTGGAGGGTTACACCCATAGCCCCTGTGAATAACTAAGAATGCTTCCTGCTATCAATTTCTCCTGCAGGGAAAACCTGCAGACCAGAAGTACCATTTTAAATCGAGCCTATAGCACAGGAACAGGCTGCCCAGAGAATCTGTGGCTGCCCCCCTCCCTGGAAGGGTTCAAGGCCAGGTTGGACGGGGCTTTGAGCAACCTGATCTAGTGGAAGGTGTCCCTGCTCATGGCAGGGGGGTTGGAACTAGATGGTCTTTAAGTTCCAAGCCGTTCTATATTACTTACAAATTAGAATTGGAGATAATTCCCTAATGATACAAACGATATAGTTCTTAGTTTTAAATACCTCACTAGAACTGTGATAGATTGCTGTAGTGAATAGTTAAGCATGGTTTGCTATGCTATTGTGTCTTTTTTTTTTTTTTTTAAAACGCCTTCAGGTAAATTAATTAGTCTGTCAGGGAACTGATTTTGATTTTGCTAATGACTCAAAATAGGAATAGATGCTGGCCTATTAGGGTAAAAGCTCATTTAAATAATACAGTTTACCAAGTGTATTGGTGTTCTGTAGAAGCTCTGGAAGTGTTCTCTCCAAATGCTTTGTGTAATTAAAGAATAATTTACTAAGAATACTAACTAACTAGGTCCACACAAACTAACTTACACCTAGGTATACCAGAGTTAAGATTTCCCAACCCAGGACAAAACCATCATCCAAAAATCCAGTCAGAAATAACAGGTTCCTCCACTTAGAAAGACTAGAAGAATCATTGGTTCTTGTAAAATATCTTGACACACACTGAATGTAAATTTAAGTTGCAAGGAGGGGGTGAGCTGCCATTCTCAGAGACTGTAATTCCTCCCTCTTACGCTATTTATGGTTTTCAGAATGGCAAGGCAAAATACTAGCTAAACATAATTCTTCATTGCAAATGCTGTGGTCGAAGTGCTCAGCAGAGCTACTAATGTCATCTCCCTCATAATCTGAATCCAGAATCTGTTGCCTAGACATCTGGGTGTGCACATCTCTTATTAGAGATGTGAATTCCTGCATTAGATCTGGTATTTCTTACCATTCGTCCAGGAAGCAGCTTCTGTGTGCTTCTTTAGAGCCTGGGTATGAGGGTGGGTGGCATTTGGTGGCTGCCTAGGATGGCAGAGCAGAAGCCAGCTTGGAAATTTAGTAAAATTGTCTAGAGGACTTCAGCAGAAGCCAAAAGGATAGTTCTGTTTAAATTGTTTCACCTCAGAAGCACGGGAACTGTCAGCTAGCACACAGATGAAAGATGCCCTTTGTATGAAACATCTCATCATAAGGATCATTAAGGAGTGAGCCTCTGAAACAGCGTCTGTTACAGATGCTGATATAATCTATTTCACTTCTTTCTATTGCTGCTCTAAGCATTTTAGAAACACTCCATAATTATTTTTCCTGTGATAATTAGGTTGAATCCAAGATAGCTGTCCCTTTACATCAGTATCTCTTAATCATTAGATAAGCTGTTCTATCACACAGAATTAGAAGAGATGGAAGTGTAAAGATGACTTACCACAAGCTCCCACTAATCCTCCTACTGGCCCTCTTTGTTCTGAAGGCGTTCTTAGCTACTAAGAAATACTTCACCCAGGTATAAGAGGCATAATGCCTGAACCCAAATACAGTTGACTGACAGGATAGTTGCAAGTAGCAAAAGTAACACGAGATTTAACAAACAGCATTTGCCAGTCTTGAATGTTGTATCATCAGTACAATTGTGCAGTGCCTCTAGTGAAGTTTAAGCTGTCATTACAACTAAGTTTGTACTTAGAGGAGTTAGAAAATATAACAACATGTATACTCATACTTTTGGTCACCAGTTTTACTCCACAGAAAGCTCAGACTTTCTAAAGAAATTCCACAGAAAACTTCTGCTTTCTCTGACCCAGGGGTGTGCCTGCAGCATCAGAAAAAACACTACTGTTGCAGATAAAAATGACTAAGTGTATCTACATATGTAAAACAGCTTTTAAAAGAGCTCTTTTACTGTAAATTTCTATACCCTTTTTTCATGTTACATATTTTAAAAGTGTATAAGCATTTGTCCATTTAGAAGTGTGCTTTATGCAAAGAATTTAACTACAAATAGAAAATCCATAAGATAGAAATAGTTTAATTTAAAAAAAAAGTCACTGTCAACAAGCCAGAATGCTCGCTATAAATTAAGTGACCCTTGAGCTACCCCATTTAAGACAGATATTTCTTAGATATGATTTAGATATCATCTCAGTAAAACAAAACTGTACTACATGTGCTCCTTAGCAAGAGATCTGATTTCCAGGAGAGGTGTCACAGGATAAAAATGTCCTGTTTAAGAATGAAGAGAAATAAGTGAATGTGTTCTGAGTCATGTTATATGCTATGTCATAGCCTTTCTTCCATACCTTCTGTGAGCAATAGGAAGAAAGAAAATCTGCTTTAAATCTTCAGAAAGGTCCTCTAAGAATTTTCTGTGTACATACTCTAGAACCTTCATATTAGGAAATAAAAGTGTTTTAAATGCTTATGAAAAATCATTGATTATTTCTACATATATCATATTTCATCTGAACAGTGTAAAGCACACTTATCCCTTAATGTACAAAGATGTCCCAAAGCTTTTTTGAGATACGGTTTTGCAGATCTTTTGCTTCAACACACAATTTACAATGTAGTACCATTTTAAAATCATTAGTATGCAAAAGATAAATATTATATTTAGGTGGATAGAATCCAAACACTTGGCTGGAGTGGTAACTAATAAAAAAATTTGTAAGATTGGAAATTAATATGTTTCCTTTGAGTGCTTAAGCAATACAATAAATACAAGAAATCTAAGATTGCTAAGAAAAAAGATAATGGATTCTGAAATATCTGTACTTTGACAAACCCAAACAACATAAAAGAATTTGTAATCTATTTTAACTGGTATTTGTTGATTTACTTGTTTCAAGACAAATCTTTAAGCAAAAGAAAGTTTGTTAAAGAAGTTATATAACACAAAAAAAGACTCACCTTTGACTATTATAAATTAGCAACTTACGAGACAAATCAAAATAAGTTCACTGCCCCTTTAACAAAATTATTTTTCCTCTTTAAAACCAGATTTGGTTATCTATGATACATTGTAAGGGCCTGACACTAATTTTGAGAATAATTTAATTCACTCTGCTCCAAAAGTCAGTTCACTCATAGTCTGTAATTTCTCATATGCTGTAAAATGGCACAGGTCAGCACTGCTATCAAAAGAAGTAATCTTACCTTCCTCCACCCATTCTGTCTCTCCCTCCACTTCTATCTTCTCTGATGCAGTCAAAGAAAATCTATGCAGCTGTTTAATAAATGAGGTCAGTTCCCTGATCCAGATGAAAATTACCCCCACCCCTTTTGTAAGGTTAACTTTAACATGGATCAGTTCTTTGATCTGGTTCACCTGCTACCACATAAATCCTTACCCTGGCACAAGAGAGGGAGCAGCATAAGGGCAGGAATGAACTGGGGCACCATAAATTAGCATAAAGAATATGTGAAGCTGAAAGTATGATTCCAAAAATGTCTTTTAACAGATAGGCACCTAGAAACAATTGTGCTCTATCCTATTGTTTGTGAGTTCTTTTGCTTGAGAGTATGTGTCTGAAGCACGTGCTATAATACATCCTCTGCATTATCTGAGAACTTGCCTTTATCCTCTTCAGATACCCTTTTTATGCTTTGAAAACACAAGGCTGAACCCTGGACTTGTGCTGTAAATCCTTCAAGCTGTGTACTTGGGGAAGAGGAGGGCAACTGATACTTTTTTAAAAAAAATTAAACTGAAAAAAAAAGCCTCCCTTCTCACAAGACAAAACCTCCTTCCCTCTCTACTGGCAGTTACTGTTGCAGGATAGTTGCGGGGTAGAAAATTTTTTCAGTCTCCCATAGATTTCTTTTGGATTTGCTAAACCATCCCTGCCAGCAAAGATTTATGTCTGGACCCTAGCAAATTGCTTACCTTAAGAATCCAGCTGAAGGATATTTAACAAAAATATATCCCTAGAGGACAATAAGCAGTAGACTCTTTAAAGGCTCATCCTCCTTTTCTAATTACAAGTTATACTCCAAGGTCCAGTGGGAGCTTTGGCCAAGAACTACATAACACATTTTTTAATGAAAATTAGGTTATCAGCATTATTCTGCTTTTCTGGTTATACAGACTATGATTATAGTGAACATGGTATTTAAGCAAACAGAGCCAAAGCTGCTCTTCCATAACCTATAACCTGCACACATGTCACATCATAGTCAATAGTGGTAAAACATCCATATTTTCTATCCTTCCCCCCTCAAAAGTCACCTCTGACAATCTGGATTTAATAATTTCATTATCTCAGGTTTAAAAAAAAAACCAGAACATTGACAGTTTGTCAGTAGGGAAAATTTTAGTGGACTGCAATAACACTATTGAACACTGGCTCAGGTACAAGGCTTCCTCCCAGCTAATTACAGTGTGATCTATGTAAATTTCTTAGCAAAGCACTCGCTTATTAGTAATTACACAGTATGCTCCCTGTTTTCATAATATCGGTCGTAGTTTTCACCATTATATTGCCCTCATAAAGTCACATTTCTGTCTGCTTTCATAAAACCTTCCACTTTTTCCTTCTGATAGACTACATTTTTGGTAGATTCTCTAATCACCGAGCTACTGACAAAGGGAAATAGGTTACCTGAGATAGGGGGAAATCCTGCAGTCTTTGTTGCACAAATCCTATCTTTCAGATGTGAAATCAGACATACTGGATTTTTTTTTTTTTCCTGAACTAACATGAATTTACACCTGCTGGTAATTGTTACTGAGAAAGGAAAAAGAAAATGTCATACCATATCAGCCCACAGGTCTCTGCATAGTAGTACTGTCCAGCTTGGGAAGATAGAGACAAACCAGGCAACAAAAGTTCATGTAAGTCTGCATGTCTCTTACACCACTTAAAAGACAATGAAATATTAATAAGTACCATTCTTGTGTGAGTATATGAATACTGATTTCCTCTATGAATGGACCAGTACTAGTCAGGAAATGAACCATTCTGCTGCTAGGCAAAAAAAATCTATAGTGAATCAGAGAGTAATTCTTAGTGGTGTTTTGTTCCTCTGCATGTTCTTTTTTGTTGCTTACTTAGGTCTGGGATAAAGTGATTCTTCACCACTGTCAGATACTTTGTGAAGTCAGTAGGTGTTACTTTCTACAGAGAAAATAAGAGACAGAAATAGGATTGCAAAGGAGGAGAGCTTTGCTTTGCATTTCTTGCAGCCGATGTAGAGAAATTATTTTTTCTTCTGGAAACTCAGTTTTAATGGTTTACATTGCAGCTTAACTTCAGAGTTTATGGCTAACTGCTAAGAGTCATAAGTATAAAGTAGTTAATTGAAAGAAGTCTTTACTTAATCTTTTGAGAAAATGTTTTTCATTTTTTTGCCAGTAAGGACTTTACTCATGTCGAATAAATACTTGATGCAAGAGAAAAGCTGGGCACCTATCTTTGCGTGAGATTAATGATTTAAAACTCTCAGAGTGGGCAGCTGGAGAGAGGTTCTCAGAGACTGAGAACAGTCAAGACAAATCCTCCAGTATGACAGACATAAGGCCCCCTATTTTAAGGTCCCTCCTTGTTCTGCAAGGTATTCAACAGGAAGTTTACTGAAATCCTCAGCAATTTGCTGAATGGGAAGTCAGTGGCTGTTTAGGAGATTTGGCATCAAATAACAGCATTAGTAGGTGCCTAACTTCTTTGAAATAAAATCCTGTTGGGATTTTTTGAAAAGCATGTGGCAGGTGAGAAGTGCTCGTAACCCTTTGCATTTAAAAATCATTAGCTAAAATGCATAGACAGCATTAGGATCAAAGACCAGGCTTCAAGTCACTGTCTCCCTTTGAGAACTAGTTCTTAGCTGCCAGCTGGTACAGTGCTTCTCTGACTTGCTCTTCCCAGGCTTGTACTCTTTGCAGCATAGTACCCCATCTTCAAAAGACTCTCCGGCTTCCCACTTCGTATAAATTGATGGGTAAAAAACATCGATGCAGGGAAGGCGAGGTGAGTTTGAATTTCTTCGTCTGAGTTAAAATTAATTCATGCTCTCTTATTTTGTAGGCAAATGATCTATTAATGAACTACTTCTAGGGCCAACAGCAGCTCCTCTTGAAGACAGCAACCTTTAGTTCTTTCTAAGAGCAGTTTCTAGACTTTGAGTGCTAACTACAAAAATTTTCATTTGTAGACCTAATTCATACACCGAATCTCCAGAGAGGACATGATTGCAATTATACTTTTCTGCATTGCATAGCCCTTTAACTAGCTGTCAGTAGCTCCCAGCTCATTGGAGACTTTTTGGACAGCCTCTATAAGAGTATTAGTTCTCCCCATGTGCTCCATGAAGGACCTGTAACGCAGGTATGAATTTCGCTCTAGCATCTGGAAGTCAGGCAGTGCTACCACTGTTGGAAATCTGGCCATTATCTGGCTTCCTGAAGGCAAAACAGAGAACCAGAAATAGTCAGAATTATAATTCAAGGGAATCTATCTTTCAGCTGCCTTTTTTAGTGTATTTCTGTTGAGTTGTTTTGCTTTTCCTATTTTACCTTGTATTTATCTCCCCAGAATGAGATTCTGTAATATTTTACTTGTGTTAGGGGAAACTTGCATATGGTTGCCATCTACCTATACAAAGGAAAAGAAAACAATGCATAGTTAGTATCCTAAATGGATTGGATTATATAATGAAACATTATTAATTTTTAACTTGGACTGTTACATTTCAAGAAATATAGCCTAAACTGTACAGCATGAGTTGTACACACTTATCTCTGAGAAATCAGTTATAAACACGTAAGAACTTGTATATTTACAGAATATAAGCTACCAGGTACTAGTGTCTTGAGATTCTTTATCATAAGAAATTACGTTCAATAAGAAAGTTCAAGTTTGACACTCGTGATTAAAAAATAAAATTTTTAGGGACTCTGTCCTTTAGTATGTAGGAAATTGCAATCCTGATGGAATTCAATGTTTTTCATTTGTTTGCCCTGGCAGCTGTGCATTAGTAAAATAAATAAATTAAATAAACAGCAACATCTGTTCCAGTCACTAGAGGTTTATTGCTGGAGTTATCTGCATTGGATGGGAGGAGAGGATCTAGTAGAGGAGCTCAGCTTTGCAGAGATTAGTGGAATCACTAAGAATAAATATGTAGAACTGTGTGACCTGTGGGAAATATCTCACCTGCCAAATGATGATGGTAACTAGTATTAAAGTCTGAAGTCCTCTAGCATCTATTCTGCATTATTCATATGAGTAGGAATCTCATATTCAAAGAGCTAATACGGTATCAGTATGTATCTTATTAAAAAGAAAATCTGTGGTGTAGTTGAGAACCTAAGCCTGTAGGTTTTTCCTTTTAGTTCATTATTCTTGGTTTCAGGATACCTTACTCCCTCTATATATTTGAATAGTATAAATGTGTGTGTGTGTATATATACATATTTATGAATATACACAAAATTCTGCATGTGTGTTTGGGTGTGTGAGTGGGACTGGACAACACATGGATGATCTTGTATGCTGTAGTCAAGCCACCTCCCTGTCTTGTTTTGATAAACTAAGCAATACACTTAGTGGATAGCTGTGATGCACAGAAAGTAAGACAGGGTGATCTAATCGTGCCTCAGGATTCAATCCATGAATTCCTCCATAAACCTGAGAGAGTAGTCACAAAGTAGGTATTCCTATGCTGGTATTCCTACCTGATTAGTTAATGAATGCTCTGCTACAATATTTAGAAAGATGCAAAACAAATTCTTAATCAACCAGACAGATATAATTTGCCAATTCCATTAAAATAATCTGGGAAAGCTGTAGGAAATAGTTGCAACATGAACCAGAATGTTTCACTGCCATTATTGGAATCCAGAAACTCAAATGGAAGTTGCTTTATAGGGGTTGCAACCATAGCCAGAAATAGATACTAATAAATACATACTAAAATTGGAAGAAAACACAACTGAAGTTTATGGACTTCTTCTGAAGATGGTTGTGGCATTATTATTCTCATAATATAAGCACTAGAGAGCTGTCAGTGAAGTCATCTTGTTGCAGGTTTAAAGCGGTGAGTAAGCAGGAGGTAGTGGTAGTGTAAGAGGTAGTAACTGAAGCCTAGGAAGAGGTGTCAGAATGCCTTGCTAGATCACTGGTCATTGCAACACGGTGGTTGTAAGGTAACAGTTAAAATGGGTTCAAAGGGGAATAAACAAATGGAAGACAAGTCCCATTGATGGTAATTTATATTGGAAAAAAAAGGTACTCCTGGTGCTTTCTTTGGCTGAGAAAGTTTCTGAACTGCTTATTGCTGGAGAGAGGTTAATTAAGCTATTTTCATCCTCTTAGTGTAACAATGTACTATTAGCTATTGTGGAAGATGGGATATCAGGCTGGACAGAGCCATCTGTGCGAGCCATTATAGAATACTTGACTTCTGTCTCTTCACACTAAAAACATGAAAGTATCAACAAGCTAAGTGGTAGTGAGGTAGAAGTTGAAGGAAATAAGAAGGTGACTTTGATATCTAGGAGGAGGCTGAGAAGGTTGGAAGTTCCCACTTTTTCATCCTCTAGAAACAACAATTTATTGCAAGCAGCAGGTGCAGAAGAGAAAGGAACAGAGTATGGGCTATTTGGAGTAATTGTTACAGCTCTGGGAAGAATTATATTTACCAGTTCTCTCTGCTTTAAGCACTGGATGTCAGCCAAGTAAGTCAGATGGGTATATGTGGGTAAAAGGGATATGTGGTAATTTGAAGGAACATGAGTATGCCAGCAAAGGCTTATTCAACTTTGTGTGAGGGTGCTTTTCAGTTTTCAAATTGTATTTCAGTCTGATAGGTAATTTTCAGGCTTGCTGCAGTGAAACTTGTTCACATGAAAGTATATATTTGAAATATTTTGAAAGCCTATATTTGATTACTAATTGGTTGGCATTTATCTCTCCACTTTTCTCAATATTGCATTACCTCTGGTCTGCAAAGAACATCAGTAATATGTGTACGTCACAGATACAGAAATCAGGATTGCAGCATGAAACTATTTATTGTGTAATAACTAAATTTGATAATTGCAGCTATTGGAAGTAAAACTATAAATGGTTCATATAAAATAATTCTGGTTTTAAGGAGAATTAGCTATATAGTATAGTAGCACTGGGAACTAACTTTTTTAAAAGTTGCTGTGGCTAATGCTTTTTTCATACTAATTTCATGCTGTTAAAACTCCACCAGCATTAATGGAGTTAATCCTGATTTTCATTTACATAAATGCAAAGAAAGCTCAGCCTCAGTGATTTTTTACATGCTGTTTCAAGTGTGCTTGAAACTGCTAAACCCGCATAATTCCACATAAAAATAAAGCTTAATTTAGAGAGATCTAATTGTTCTTATTTCACACATAAACCTCTGTGGCAAACAACAGAACAATGATACACTGTTCTTTGACATTTGAATTTGCAATACTGGTTGAACATTCAGAGTCTTTTTGAGATGTATTTTTATCAATGAAAAGTCTGTGAAACCATTTAACTAAAAATTAGCTTGTATTAATGTAATCCTGTCCACTAGCTTCCATAGATGATGGAAGTACTAACTGCCTGTATCAAAGGGAAGAAAAAGCATTTGATTTTTAAGACATAAATCAAGTCCTTCGTTTCTTACTCTTTGATCAGCTTTGCTTATGCAGGCACATAATCTGACCCCCTTTGCCATCTAATTTTCCACCTCTTCCCTCTCCAACCCCATAGTATTGAGCTTTTATCAAGGCCAGAATTTTTTTTTTTTTTTTTTTCTCTCCAGGGACTAGTCGTGCCTCATTCATTTTTCTCCCTGGTCTGTAGAAACCCCGCTGCAATGTTAAACCATTAGGAAATACCCACTTCCTGGAACATCAAATACACCTGGTTTTTTTTGTTACTAGGCTGCCACTCTATGGCCGTATGCATAAACTACAGTTTTAGTTCCACTGAAGTAAACTGTATTGGAGTTTCTGGGGATGTGTGATAGATCATCTGGGCTTCATGTTCTACAATGAGAGTATGATTACCTTAAAGAGGACAAAGGAGAGGACTAGCATTTCCCCTGTAGGCACCTACCAGCCTGATATCTTAAATACATTGCAGACTATCTTTTTGATCATTAATACTGTGCATATTGTAGTACCTGCACATGTAATTTACCACTATGCTGCTTCCCCTGGCTGTCCAAAATAATGCTATTTTGAACTGGATTTTCAAATGAGAGAATATTCAGTCGTTTATGCCAGAAAGCCAAAAGATATGCTTTCAAAATACCTTTGCTAGGAAATCAGGCAGATGCTTAGACTAATACATGCCTGGTGTCCTTCATAAAGATGAAGTTTTGATGCTTTTGAATCTGTGCAATAACTAAGTCATGGAAGTGAATCAAACTGTGTTTTAAATGCAGATGCTTATATGTAGCCATACACAGTTGTTTACAAATGGGTTAAAGGGGCATCTAAACTTTCATTAATAATTTTTTCACTTATGCAAGATTGCAATACACTGCCTAGTAAATTGTTGTTATTTAAGTCACTATTTTCACATCTGCTCCTGAAAATGGAGATGACTGAAATTTAGCAGATCTGCCTTCTGGAGTACCATGAGCAAGCTGTAGATTTGTCTGCCTGTAAGCACTTCTGCTCGAGTTCTACAGTGTGAAGACCTTTCACAGAAAAACTCATGTTGAAGAGGGTGGGAATGGCACTGTATGTATGTATAGTGTTATTCCTCATCCTCAGGCAATTTTGCATGTTTCCATTCAGGAAGTGGAGTAAGAGCAAGCTTGAGATGTGCTCCTACCTTCGTTTTTAGGACACCCAAGCTAAGAGGAAAACTCCAAGGTCAATGGAGATCTAATTTCTTGTAGATGTTAACTTTTAAAGAACAGAGTCCCTGGTTGATGTCCTGTCAATGGCCACATAAAATATTGTAAGGGCTTCAAAATGATACTATTTTCTGTATAAACAGTACCTGCTGTTTGAAAGCAATCTGAAAAACGAAAGTCCAAAGCAAAGGAAATTCATTCATTCAGATGAATAAAAGATGTCTTATTGGCCAGAGAAGTCCGGTAGCTTGAAAACAAGCTCAAAATTTTTAATATGTGTTTTTCCTTTGAATTTGCTCCTGTAAGCACTCCTGGGTTCGCTGGAGAGCAGGGAGGAAGGACGATTGTTAAAAATTGAACAGCTTGCTCTTACTAAAATAAAAATCCATTGTACAGTCATCATTGATTTAAACTAAAACAGGTCCTGACCTTTGGCCTTGTTAATAACATTGTTCCAGATAATATCTACAGCATTTTTAATATTTTGTGTTAATGTAGATTAATATTATAATAAGAATAGTATTTTTCAGGATGCTTGGCCATAAAGCACCTTTGGTTTCTAAACAGAACCTGCTGTTAAAAGGGCTAATTAGTTCTGCCAAGAAGGTAACAGTGGCTATGACCTATAAACCAAACTGTAATATATATTAGGAGGTTCTGAATGCTGCAGTTATATTCCCCCATTTAGGAATATTACAAGTAAAATTTACTATGATCAGGAGATTGAGAAAGAACGGGAGATCATAAAACAACATAAAGCAGGAGCTCAGAAAGAAGTTGGAGGAGTAGCAGCTTGGGTATGGGAACTAAACCAGTATAAAATTAGATAAAAAATTACCTCATTTTCTAAAGTATTTCTACAGCAGTCAGTGCAAGCAAGAGTAACATAATAGGTGTGGCCTAAAACCATACGCTGAAGTTGCGAGTGACAATACTGAAAGACAATTAAAGTAATTTTAAGGAACAGGGATGCTGACCAAATAGCTAGAGGCTGGAATGCAAAAGAAAGCGAGGTTGCCTGAAGCATGATGCGGCAGCGCTGGATCCTCCTCTGTAGCTTATTTGTTGTAGCAGAAGCACCAGGGTCCCCAGAGTACCGATCGCTGCTGTGTACAAACCTAGCAAGTGGTGCAGTGCAGCAGTCTTTGACACCTAACACACGCAGCTGAAACACTCAAATCTAGCAGCAAGGCCAAAGACTGAGATTTAGAGCAGTAGATGATGAAAAAATATCAACAAATTTTCTGCTGGGTGGCAATGTGTCAGGTGTATGCACAAGCAGACTATGTATGCAGAGGCACACAGCTAACAAAAGCTAGGTCAGCTGTAGTTTACAAGAATTAATTTAACTGTTGATTTAAGATGGTGAATTGAACTGCCAACCAAACCCGATCCTGTAACAGTCAACACAGTTTTTGAGCTGCTGTAATAAACTGAATTGATTTCCTTCACATGGAGATAATAAAAATGTCCATCTTGTACAAAGTGTTGCATTTTTTTCCCTGAAACTTTTGTATGACTTTGTTGCCATTTACCATTGTTTTTCTCCTGCATTCTTCCTAAATGGTTGGAAATACCAGTGCACTGTATTCCAGATATGGCTGCAATATGGCTGCAACAGGGCTGTATAGAAGATTATTTATCCTGCTGAATTCCAAATATGATCCATGGCTATTCTCAAAATGACACTGTTTCTTTGTTTTTACAGTGGTATTACATAACAGGCCTCTGTTTAGTTGCATAGTTTTCACCTGTCTAGTCTGGCTCCGCTTCTGAGTCAGTAGGTGTCCAAAACTGATATGTTTTTTTAAAACAAAATAACATGCCTTCAATGTTTTAGAAATGTAAAAATGTCTTAATATTACTGAGTGATCCTAATCCCGAGAAAGGGACCTTTTCTTCCTTGTGCATCTAAATTATTCACAAGGGGAAAAGGCTTATAAAACCAAATAAACCTTAGTGTCCAGACATAGAAATATAAATAATTGGTTTTACCTTATCTTCCTTTCCTCTTGTTCTGTTTACTATAAATTAGTCAAACAAAATCTGTGTATTTATTTTCTCATAGTGCCCAGGTAATTTACTTATACCCAGAATCCTGCTGTGCCAAAACAGAAAGTGCCTAGAGGACCCAAATATAGTTTTCCCAGTTTTCCTGTCCCTTACCACTAAAGATCTTGGGTAGCATCATTGAACTAGCAAGGTTAGAGCCCTCAAGAGGCAGAGTTAATTACCTGCTTCTGCCATCCCTGGTGAAATGCCATTTCACTTTTCTGTATTTCAGTTTCTAGATGCATTGTATTTTCTTCCTCTTGTCTTTTTTTTTTTTTTGTGTGTGTTGTGTTGTTTGTTGGGGTTTTTTTCCATGTTTGTTTTGACAGTAAGCTCTTCAGTGTAGGAACAGTACATCTATAGGGCCAAATCTGAGTTGGAAGCTCTTTGTTTTGGTATAATCACGCTAATAAATTCTTTATCCCAGGTACTGTAGCTCCCTTTATCATTTTATTTCGCTAGACATAGTTCCTCACAGCACTTCTTCCCCATCTAATACTCTGTTTTAGTAGGAACAAGCAGATTAGAAGGAGCAGGACACCCACTACTACCC